CTACTAGCTTGAACTGTTACCTAGGAGAAATCTGCTGTCATTCTAATTTTTGTTCCTTTGGATGTAAAGTGTCTTTTTCCTCTGGCCGCTTTGAAGATTTTCTGTTTATCAGGGGTTGCAAGCAATTTAATTGTAATTTGATTTGGTGTAGTTTTCCTCATGTTTGTTGTTTTTTGAGGTTTGTTGAGCTTCTTAGATCTATAGGTTTATAGTTTTGATCAACTGTGGAAAAATTTCAGCCATTATTTCTTCAAAAACTTCTCCACTTCTGAGGATGAAAAGGGTCAAGGAGAAGGCATTACAAAGGTCACTGGAAAATAACCAAGTCTGTATCAAGTATGTCACATTTTAATGATACGTATTTGCATAGTCAGTTCTCTCCTCTATGAAAACAATGACTCAGAGCTTACTTCATGCCTGGTAGCTGCTTAAATATCACCTCCGTGAATTCTTCCAAGACCTTAGTTAGTGGGAATAGCTTTGGATGGGAAGGAATGAGTAATGATTAATGGTGCAGGCTTTGAGCTCCTGCTCTGTATGTCACCAACTGTTTGACTTTGGGTAATTCACATTGCCTCTCTGGCTTTAGCTTCCTCGTCTATTCAAATGAGAATAATAATAGTATCTACCTTACAAGGATGGAGTACAAAGCACTCAGACATTGGCTGTTATTCCTGTTAGTTTTTGTATGCCAATATATGTTGCCTTATTGCAGCTGACTCTACTCTTCTAGGTTTTAGCCAGGATCTGTGATTCTTTCCTTCTTCAGGTCCACTCTTCTGGAGCTTTCCCTGGGATGTGGAGGTTTTCAGTATTAACAACTGGATGAGATACTCAGCTCAGGTCTGCCTCAGTCTCCTTTTCCCATCTTGCTTTTATTCTCCCCTCTTCTTCCCCACTCTGTTGTTTATGGGTTCTCCAGGATGGAGTAGAAGAGAGAAATTGGGAAGGAAAGGGACAGAGGAGGTCCCACACGGCAGCAGTAGTTTCAGGCTTATGCTCCTGTGGCCAGCATATGTCTCACAGCTTCTTACTCTCTCAGAGAGCTAGTGTGGGGTCCCTGAAGATTCTCCCACAGCTCTTCCCTGACATGGGCCACAGTACTTCTTTCTTAAGACTCCTCTTCATCTGCACTTTATGGTGTACCTACAGCCTCTTTCTGTGACGACATGTGACCCATGGAAACCCTTTGTCTTGCCCCACCGTGGTGCCAGAGTAGCCCACTCCCTGAAGGCCCTTGTTCCCTGTCTCGTGCTTAAATGTGCAGATCTTTCCAGCGTCTACTGTAGACTTCTTGGGCATGAGACAGATGCCAGTCCCTTGCCCTGCAAACTCCAGAGGCCCAGTAAGCTCAATAAGTGACACTCTGGAGCTCCCTCATTTGGCTTATGGAATACAGTAACCCCTCCTGTGCCTTCCCTTATAGGGAAACTCCACACTACTAGGACAACTCTCTCTGGAGGAATTGCCAGCTCTCAATGGCATGCCAAGGGCAGGACATTGGGAGGGTTCTACCCATGGCATAGGAAATAATATAGAAGCACACCGTAGAGACTTTTTTTTGTGGGCAGCCAATAGCAGTGATTGAATCCTGGACCTTGGTATTATCAACACCATGCTCTAAGCAACTGAGCTAACCAGTCAGCCCTTACAGATCTTTAAAACAATAATAAAACCAGCTAAAAGTCGGTCTTTTAAAAATTATTATTATGTGCTGGTGACTCTGAACAATGAAAATAACAAAATTCTTCTCCCCCCCAAAATCATTTATAGGTCTAAATCCTAAACAACCGCTATGGTTACTGTTGAGTTTTAGTAATGTATATATTTTAGCTTCAAATTGGTGTATTTCAATTCAGAGAACTCCCTGCTGTACAGTCAGCCTCTGAAACACACAAACTCAGTTGCACATTTATTTTAAGAATAAGCTCCTGTAAGTTTGGAAAAGTTCAAGCTTGTTTTGGGTGAGGTCCTCATCTCCAGCCCTGTAGTATAATATATTCGTACACTTGAAGAATAGGTTCAAAATAAGCAGTGATAGCATAGAGATTGTAAAGAAAAAAGGAACTTGAGTTACTTTAATTTTGTTATTCTTTGTGACCATTTGGAATTTTAATTTGTCTTCAAAATTTAAAGCACCGATGCAATCCAAGTGTTCATCAACAGATGAATGGATAAACAAAATGTGGTGTAGACATATAATGGAATATTATTCAATTTTTAAAAGGAAGGAAATCCTGACACATGCTACAACATGGATGAACCTTGATGACATTATGCTAAGTGAAATAAGCCAGACACAAAAAGAAAAATACTTGTAGTCTATTATCCCACTAATATAAGGTATCTGGAGTAGTCAAATCCATAGAGATGGAAAGTAGAATTGGTGGTTGCCAGGGGCTGAGGGGAGGGAGAAATGGGTATCGAGTTGTATAATGAGTATAGAATTTGTTTTGCAAAATGAAAAAGTTCTGCAGATTGGTTGCACAACAAGGTGAACATAGTACTGAGCTACACACTTGGAAGTGGTTAAGATGGTAAATTTTATGTTGTGTGTGTGTGTGTGTGTGTGTGTTTTTAACCATGATTTTAAAAAACGTACAGCAGTGAAACAGAGTGCGAACAACAAGGTGTAATATTTTTCTTTGGTAAGTGCAAATTTTAGTTCACACATGTAATATGTTACTAAGTTTGAGTAATACCTTTAAGATTGAAATTTATTCTTTGTGTTGGTTTGGGTCCTCTAAGCCAAGATGAAATTATACATGAAGAGATTAATTTATTGGGGAAAATGTCTGTGATGGGCAAAGGAGAGGAAGCTGGAGTAGACAAGGACAGTGTTCAGACTGAAAATTGGGAAAAGAAGGAGAGAGGATTGGGGAGCAAGCAGCTTAGCCTGAAACACAGTTCTAACAAAGCTCTTCAGTCAGTCTGGTGGGAAGTCCACAAAAGCTGCCCATTTCATGAGTCTCCTGGGGCCACTTCTCCCACCATGCAAAATAAGTGACCAGGTGCACCACTCACTCACAACTCTGCCCATTGGGTAGATTTTCCTTCCCCATTATCTTTCAGGGCTTCCCATGATGTGGCTGTAAGACAGCCACCATCCATCTTTGGCTTGTACCCATATTCTAAGCCAGCCCATCTGTAAACCAAGTTCAAGCTTTTCCCCCCTCTTTCAGGTGGTCATGACCCTCTCCCCCACCCAACCCCCAAATACGGTCATAAGTATGAGTTGGGGGGAGGTACGGGTGTGTTGGATAACATGTTGGTCTTGGCTATCTGTTCATGCAGCTTACTCATGCTCTCTGGTTCTGCTGGTGCTTGATCCTGGATGTACCATTTCCATTTTGAAGTGGACTAAAGCTAGGCTTGTTTGACCTTCTGACTTGGTGGGTCCAATGGAACCCAGCAGGTAGGGAGGATTGGGTGTATGGTCACTTGGTGCCCCATGGTTAAGCACTCTATCTCTATCAGTATGTGGTAATGGGCAGGAGTGGTTTCTCAAAAGGCATATAATTCTCTGCTGTGGATTACATGGTCTTGTTTCAGAACGCTGAGTCCTTTGTTGTGATTCTCCCACTGGTCTTGCTTTAAGTTACATGCTACATCTTTTCCTACCATTGAAACCTCCAACACATAGCGTCTGCTGTATCACCTGGCCCAATTGGCAGGGCTGTTTGCATCATAGCCTGGACATGCTGCAGAGCCCTTTCTTGCTCTGGACCCACTTGGGGCTGGCATCCATTACTGTCCCTTGGTATATGGACATACTAGGTATTTCTGACTGTGGTCTGTTTTGCCCCCAGAGCCTGATGAGGCTTACCAGCAGAGGGAAAAGGTGGTGGCAGGAGTCAGCCTCTCTGCTGTCATCTCCAGTAATTCTACTCTGGCCCCAAACTTGTGCACCCTAAGCAGCAAAACAAATGCCCTCCTTTGGAGCCTAGTGACTGCCTGTTGATTCTAATGCATGGTCCTTGCAGTGGAGGTGGCTGACCCCAACCCCAGGCAGTTTATCACAGCTTGCTTCCTAATCACATCCAGTGGCTACCACCCTGAGGGAAGTTTGCCCATCCTGCCCTCTGTCCTCTCCCACTCAATGGGGAGCAGGCAGAAAGCTCTGGGGATTCTGGCCATGTTGCACATCAGTGTAGAAGTTAACAGCACAGACTTTGGGTTCCACTAGAGCTTGGTTCCATTCCTGCATGGCCAGGAAAACCATCTAAACTACTCTATTCCTCAGTTTCCTAATCTGTAAGATGAAAAGAATAATACTAATTTCATAAGACTGTTTTGAGGACTTGATGAAATGATGATGGTCAAGCACAGTATGAGGCAAGATGTTGCACTATCCTCAATCCAGGTTGCAACAGCTTGTTTAGGGGCTGTTTCCTTCATTTAACTGGAAGCTCCTTGAGGGCCAGAATGGTCTTTACCATACACTCCCCCAGGATACTAAGGATATACTAGATATTCAGTACTATTTAGGGATGTCTCTTGAATTTACATCCATTTTATAATGTTAAGGTCAGTAGGGGTTGGGGCGTTCCTCAATAATCAGCTATGGGTTTTGTTTTGTTTTTTTTTTCCTTCCAGGAATGTAGGATGTTGATATCTGAGAGAAACTGCAGTTATCATGTATCAGGCACCACGTGGTGAACAGAGCAGGGGCCTCACAGCAAAGTAAGGGAAGGAAGACACTCAGACAAATCATATTAGCTTTCTGGGCCTCAGTTTCTTCGTTTGGAGTTCTTCGTTTGGAGAATAAAGAAAATAATTGATACTATTACAAGATTTTTGCAGTATTTTCATAAACTACGCTAACACAGTGCAGAGGACACAGTAACTGCTACTATTATTACCAACAAAAGAATCACTGTTAGAGACGTGAAAGTGACCGCGCTCAGGTGTCGGCGCGGAGATAGGCCGGGGAAGCGCTGGGCGGGGGAGCGCTGGGCGGGGCCGCCGGAAGCCACGCCCCTTCCGCACCCGCATCCGGTCGTCCCGGCAACGCGCCGCTGGGTCGCACTGAGTAACGCGTGGAAGCTAACTGTCTGCCTGGGCACACTCGGCTTTGCAGGGACCGCTGCGGCAGAGAAATGACCGATGATGACTCCGACAGCGTCCTCAGCGAGTCGCAGACCGGGGAGGAGAGCGAGCTGCCTGTCATCCAGCTGTGCGGGCTGGTGGAGGAGTTTAGGTACCGGCCGGCCGGCCCCCGCGGCCACCCCTCCTCACCGTGGACCCTCCGCCTCGAGCGGCCTTGGACCTTAGGTCCGGCATGGAGACGACCCGTCTCAGTTTCCCCAGTTCCAGGCGGGGCAGGAACTTGTCTTTGCCTCTTTACCCTTGAGCCGCTGAGCCAGTAGGCCGTTGATGGAGCCAGAACTGGGTGGAGAGCGAGGACGGTGGGGCGGGCGGTGGGAAGCCCGGAGGGTAATTGGTGAAGCTGGAGGTGGGAAGCCTGGTGGGTCTGTCTGGTTTCAGGTTGTGTGCGTATCCCCTCCCCTATTCTGCAGCGGCTGGTTGGACTAGGTGACCTCTAAGCCCCTTTCCAATGCTGAGATTCCATAGTGAAATTAATATGGCAGAAGGATAGAAAGGAAGCTATTGGGATGATTTTTGTATAAGGTCACATGTGCCTGAACCAAGGTATAAGCATGGAGATGGACAGCAAAAAATGACTGGCCCAATATTCTATATTTTTAGCTGTCTGTTTTATATCTACTATAGCAAGTAAATTGGATGTCAAGATTCCATGATGTAGTTAAGATTAATTGTACAGTGTATTGGTCTTGCACAGAATGTCCTGACTCTGGCAGCTGAACTGATGTTACTTCTGTACATCTATAAATAGTTTAGGTCAGAACTGAGGTATTATTACAATAGCTTCCATTTCTTTAAGTGCTTATTATGCATCATGCATTTTGCATATACACTGTATGTATGACCTTATACAAGGGGTCTTCAAAAAGTTCATCGAAAGATTTGTATTCTCTTTTAATCCCATTTTTCCACGAACTTTTTGAAGTACTAATGACACAGCAACCCGAGGAGGTGGGTAAAGAAACAAAGAAACAGAGGTTAAGTTACTTCCCTAAGTTCACACAGCTAGTCAGTGGTAGTGCTGGGATTCAGACTCCTCAGACTGCACCTGGAACATTATGTATGCTGAAAAAGGACACTTTGGTATGTTGTGCTTTCCATTCAGCCTTTTCCATTAATCTTAAAACTCAGCCAAACAGGAATTAGCTCAGTAATATATGAAAACATCAAAGCCGTTCCCTCTCTCGTATATATATGTACATACATGTATATTATATACAATCACATCTGAGAAGTTAAGTTAAAAAGGTAATAATCTTGGCATGTACAGGATAAACTAGATTTGTCATTTCTAGTTCTTAAAAACAATTAATTCAAGGTTTTCTACAGTTTATAGTAAACTTCAGTGGATACTTTTTATCTATTGGGTGCTGGAAATAAAATAACTGAGAAACATAAACCAAAGGAAACATCTAAAGATTGTAGGTGTGTGTAACTTCAAGAATGTAGTAACTCAGAAGGAATTTTACAAATGGGTTAGATGACATTTGAAGATCAAACCTGTGACAACAATTTTCAGTATACCAGTGCTCTGAATTTTGTGGCTCAATAAACATTTTAATAAAAATATCAGATACTTAAATGACACTTCCTATGTGCCAGGTGCTGTTCTTAAGGTTGCATTCCTTATTGCAACCTTAAAAGGTAGGTGCTGTTATTTCCAATTTACAGGTAAGGAAACTAAGTTACCAAGAGGCTAAGTATCTTGCAGAAGGTCATACATGGCTGATAAGTGTTAAATACTAGTTATTTGGGGTTTAAACTCCTATTAATAGAACTTACTCATGTACCCTCTGTCTTGCAGCTATGGAAACTCTGCTCTCAAAACTGAGACAGAGATGTTTGAAAAATATTACAGTAAACTGGAGTCCAGGGATCACCAAGCTCCACAATTATCAGAAATTAAAATACCGGCAGAATTTGCACAGGTACACAATGGAGATCTGAAAATTATTTTATTCTGTTTGTCCCCTTAAATACAAGTGGCATTTGTGTATTTGCCTTTGGAGTGCCCTCTTTGGCCAAGTGGCCATGTGACTTTCTCCCTGTTTTACTTTTGATTCTTCCTTCCTCTCCAGGGTTTCTCTTTCAAGTGAGTGTGACGGGCATCAGGTTCAATTAATAGTGTATTGAATCTCCCAAAATATCTTAGTTTATTTGAAGGAATTCCCTGAAGTCAGGGGACTCAACTGTTTACAAGGCCTGGCCAGCCACACAATGGAGTGAAGTGGGCCTGGGTGGGTCCTTGTCTCAAAGGGCCTGTCTGAGTAGGTCCATCCTTTGAGGGCCAAATAAACCCATCTTCAGGCCCACACATTCCCTGGACCACCCACTTGTGACCTTTACCTTACATGCATAGAAAATCCAAAATTTTTGTTTAGTTGTCTGCTTTGCTGAACATGTGCCACCAGATGCAATTTCTCTTCTGTGTTAGTTCGGGAAGCACCAAGCTCTGGTATTACCCTGACTTTGACTTGAATCCTGGTCTATAGCGGGTTTACAGTCTTTCCACCCTTCAGACATTTTCCCCTTATTTATTTTCAGTTCATTGTCAGCCATACACCTTTGAAAGTATTTAGTTCAGGGTCTTAGGATGACTTGTGAAATAAATATCACCTCAGGCCTAACATCCAGCATCCTCCACCATGAGTTTATTCTCCCCAGCTGTCGTTCAGGGTAATTTCTAGCAGGTCTGAGGGATCACTTTGAAAGCCTACTTGGGCTGCTTTATTACCAATTCCTCTTTGACAATGACATTGTTTTTCTTGGGTTGCAGTTCCGAGGCAGGCGTAGATCTAAAACCCGCACTGGTATGGACCGTGTGTCAGTCCTCACCTTGGGCTGCTTTATTACCAATTCCTCTTTGACAATGACATTGTTTTTCTTGGGTTACAGTTCCGAGGCAGGCGTAGATCTAAAACCCGCACTGGTATGGACCGTGTGTCAGTCCTCACTGTTGACCAAAAACTTGAGCTTGTACAAAAAGAGCTGGAAGACATGAAGGAAGAAATAAGGCACATGAGGGCAAATGCCGAACGGGACCTGCAGCATCATGAGGTATTCCTTTCTCTTAGTGTAGGTCAGCCTACCCGGGCTCCCCCACTTCTGCCTCATCAAGAAGTACCTATAGTGTGTTCATGTTAATTTGTTGCTGCTTTGGAAGAAACGTGAGCAGGATTAGATAATCGAGGGCCTGCCTTTAAGGAACTTAACTACCTGCTTGAGGAGACAACAAATTTTAAAATTTTTTAAATGGGAAATTTCAAAAATACACAAATATAGAGAGGTTAGCACAACAAACCCCTTGTACTCAACACCCATATGTGACAGTCGTCAACATATGGCCATTCTTGTTTCCTTCATGTCCCAACCAACTTTCCCCTCACCCCACTGGGTTATTATGAAGTGAATCCTAGACATTTCATTTATTTGTAAATATTTCTCTATATGTCTCTAAGATATGGATTCTTTAATAAAAAAAAAAAACCTCCAAATACCTTAAAAATTTTACAATAATTCCTTAAGGGGTTTGAGGTTTAAGCCAATGAATTAGGTGAAAAATCCCTAAGTTGCCCATTGTATCCAGCATGCATGACCACGGTCCATGTCCTGCTTGAGCTTCTCTCATAACATCTCTCAGTGAGTCCAACAAAGTCAATTTCTCCAGAGAAGAACATCACTGTCAATTTGGTTGCCTACAGAATGAAGTTCTTTGCTTACATTTTAGAGCTATGTTGTATGAAAAATAGATACTTCTATTTCTAAATTTTTCTGTTTGTATTTTTTCTATTTTGAAATGTGGGCAGAGACAGAATCATACTTATTGCCTCCAGAGGGACGTATCAGTGGACTCATGTCACCCATTGATGGAACCATCTGTACTACACAAACCAATCCCTCCCTCCCTCTCTACTGCCTCCTCCTTCCCTCCTACTACTTATCTCTCTTTCCAAATATGCATTGTTGAATTCCAGCAAGTGGAAAGAACTTAGGTTGTGGTAGCATTGTCCTGACCTGCTAGACTGTAGGATGTAAATGTCAAGGCAGAGAGAGATCAGTGTGAGCTAGAGTGGCCAAAGAAGACTTTGTCGAGGAGGTGGGACATAACATGGGACTTGGCCGGGCCTTAAAGAATGATGGCATTTGTTTAAAGAATAGGAAAAGGAGAGAACCCTAGGCAAGGTGAATGACGTGAGCAAGAAAGTGGAGGTGGGAGTTATCATGGTAAGTTCATGACACTGAGGAGGCCGGTATGATGATTAGAGCAGAGGGTGCTTTGGGGGCTGTATTAGGAAATCAGGTTGAGTAGGGCAATGAGACCTTGAAAGCCAGGCAGAGGAGTTTACCTTTGATGTCTTAGAAAGCTGGACCCCACTGAGAATAATTGAGTAGGAAAGCAGCATTTAAGGTGGATTAATATTCTAGCATGCGAAGGTGGAGGGGGTGGGGAGGGGCTGGAGCCTGAGTCTGGCCAGTGAATATGCTCTTGCTTATTGGTGCCTAGGGGAAAAGCCTGAACTAGGATGATTTGCTGTGTGGTTACAGTTGACTTCTCATTTTATGCCTTAATAGTATGTGTATCTCAGTGTGTTCTTATTTGAAGGCAATCTGTATTTGTTGTAGAACACTGAAAAATACAGTTAAGTATTTTTACTGTTGCTGTGGTTTGAATGTGCCCCCCAAATTTCATGTGTTGGAAACCTAATCCCCAAACTCATATGTTGATTAGAAGTTGGGCCTTTGGGAGGTAATTAGGATTAGGTAAAGTCATCAGAGTGTGGCCCCCATGATGGGATTAGTGGCTTTATAAGGATAGGAAGGGAGACATGAGCTAGCCCGCTTGCTCTGTCTCATCATGTGACACCCTCTGCCCTGTTATGATGCAGCAAGAAGGCCCTCACCAGATGCTGGCACCATGCCCCTAGACTTCCCAGCCTCTAGAGCCATGAGCTAAATAAAACTTTATTCTTTATACTACCCAGTCTGTGGCATTGAATTATAGCAACAGAAAATGGACTAAGACAGCTGTAAAAACTAAAAGAACATTTACTTAAAGAACATTTGAAAACATTGACAATATTACCACCTGGAGATAATTACCGTTGAACCTTGGATTCATCTCCTTCTAGAGATTAGATAATGTTCTATGCATACGCAAATTTCTTAAATAAAAGGTAGCATATTATTTTACAAACTATATTTTTCACTTAACAATATCTTTCTGTGTCAATACATACATTCATTTATAACATCATTTTTCAACTTACAGAAGTATATAATAAGAGTGCTTCATCTCTCCAGTAATCCATCTCACTAGATGTAACTGTGTTTGATGTCTGGGGTTTATCCTACCAGATATTTTTTATATAATTTCAATGGATAAACGATATTTCAAATATGTGAATACATATTTATAGAGATATCTGAGACCTTCTTTTGTTTGTTTGTTCCCTTTCTATAGATACTTTTTTTTGAGGAAGGCTTTTTATTTAATTAATTAATTTATTTATTTATTTTGACATTCATTTACATTTTACTTTTATTCCTATAAAAAATAAAAATATAAATTGATGTTCAAATACCTTTTGGCCTTTTATTTGTTCCCTTAGTTCAGAATTTTGTTTATTTGTTTATTTATTTATTTAATCATTACACAATGTAAACATTTTTTTGTGGCCCTTTACCAATTTCTCCTTAACCCCCCATCCCCCTCCCACCTTCCCACCTCTGGTGGCCTCATTTCTGTTCTCTCCTTTTGAAAGTTCAAGGAATTATTGTGATTGTCCTTCCTTCCTTCTTTCCTTCCTTCCTCCCTCCCTCCCTCTCCCACTTATGAGTCAGGACATGTGGTATTTCTCTTTCTGTACCTGGCTCATTTCACTTAATGTAATTTTCTCTACGTTCATCCATGTTGCTGTGAATGGTATTCCATTGTGTATATATACCACATTTTCCTTATCCAGTCATCTGTTGATGGACATTTAGGTTGGTTCCAACTCTTAGCTATTGTAAATAGAGCTGTGATAAACATGGGAGTGCAGGTATTCCTTCAATATGATGATTTCTATTCCTTTGAGTATATACCCAGCAGCAGGATTGCTGGATCAAATGGCAGTTCTATCTGTAGTTGTATGAGGAAACTCCATACTGTTTTCCATTATGGCTGCACTAATTTACAGTCCCACCATCAGTGTAGGAGGGTTTCCCTTCCTCCACATCCTCACCAGCATTTGTTATTTTCTGTCTTTTTGATTATGGACAGTCTAACTGGCATGAGGCAATATCTCAATGTGGTTTTGATTTGCATTTCCCTGAGGCTTAGTGATGTTGAGCATTGTTTCATGTGTCTGTTGGCCATTTGTATATCTTCCTTTGAGAAATGCCTATTCAGCCCATTTTCTCACTTTTTAATTGGGTTACTTGTTTTTTTACTGTTAAGTTATTTGAGTTATTTGTATATTCTGGTTATTAGTCCCTTGTCAGGTGCATAGTGTGTGAATATTTTCTGCTATTCTGTAGGTTTAACCATTTCTTTTGCTGTAGAGAAGCTTTTTAGTTTGATATAATCCCATTTGCTTATTTTTTCATTTGTTGCCTGTGTTTTGGGGGGTCATATGAATAAAGTCTTTGCCCAGTTCTACTTCCTAAAGTATTTCCTCTGTGTTTTCTTTTAGTAGTTTTATAGTTTCAGGTCTTATATATAAGTCTTTAATCCAATTTAGTTGATTTTGGTATTTGGCAAGAGGTATAGGTCTACATTCATTCTTCTGCATATGGATGTCAAGTTTTCCCAGCACCACTTATTGAAGGGGTGGTCCTTTCCCCAATGTATGCTCCTGTTGCTCTTGTCAAATATCAATTGGCTGTAAGTATGTGGGTTGATTTCTGGGTTCTCTATTCTGTTCTATTGGTCCAAGTGTCTGTTTTTATTCCAGTACCATGCTGTTTTGGTTACCATAGCTTTGTAGTATCATTTGAAGTCAGGTAGTGTAATGCCTCTGGCTTTATTTATTTATTTATTTATTTATTTTGCTCAGGATTGCTTTTGCTATTCAGGGTCTTTTGTTGTACCATATAAATGTTAGGATTGTTTTTTCTATTTCTGTGAAGAATGATGGGGATTGCACTGAATCTGTAGATTGCTTTGGGTAGTATGGACCTTTTCACAAAGTTAATTCTTCCAATTCAAGAGCATGGAATGTCTTTCCATCTTTTTGTGTCCTCTTTAATTTCTTTCAGTAGTGATTTGTGGTTTTCATTGTAGAGATCTTTCACCTCCTTTGTTATATTAATTCCTAGGTATTTTATTTTTGTGAGGACTATTGTAAGTGGCCTTGCTTTCTTGATTTCTTTTTCTGCTAGTTCATTATTGGAGTATTAAAATGCTACTGACTTTTGCATGTTGATTTTGTATCCTATGACTTTACTGAAATCATTTATCAGTGCTAAGAGATTTTTGGTAGAATCTTTAGGTTTTTCTACATATAGAATCATGTCATCTGCAAACAGGGACAGTTTGACTTTGTCTTTTCCAATCTGGATCCCTTTTATTTCTTTCTCTTGCCTGATTGCTCTGGCTAGTATTTCCAATACTATGTTGACTATGAGTGGTTAGAGTGGGTATCCTTGTTTTGTTTCTGTTCTTAGGGTGATATTGGCAGTGGGTTTGTCTTATATGGCTTTTATTTTGTTGAGATACATTCTATACCTAATGCGCTGAGAGTCTTTATCATGAAGGGATATTGAATTTTGTCAAATGCTTTTTCTGTATCTATTGAGATAATCATATGGTTTTTGTCCTTGATTTTGTTGATGTGGTGTATCACAGTTATTGACTTGCATATGTAAACCATCCTTGCATCCCTGGGATGAATCCCACTTGATCATGGTGTATAATTTTTTTTATGTATTGCTGTACTCTGATTGCTAATATTCTGTTGAGGGTTCTTGCATCTATGTTCATCAGATATATTGGCCTATAGTTTTCTCTTTTTTTGTTGTATCTTTGTCTGGTTTTACTGTCAGGGTGATACTGACTCATAGAATGAGTTTGGGAG